AAGGAAATGGCCTGCCCAGTCAGTGATGCTTGAGTGACTAGAGGAGCGTAATTAGGATGACCAGTCCTACTTGCAGCACACTGCTAACCCTGTTAGACATGAACCTCCCCTGCTTACCATTTTCCCCGCACCACACCTAAGTTTACATCTTAGCCTCACAGTGGCTGCCCTCAGGTAAGTCACTGAAGCCTCTGAGCACTCTGGCTGCTGCTGGTGTGCTTAGCTTAGCTTCAAGCCCACCTACACGCATAGCTTCAGCCCACCTACACTCATACTAATCCTCTGCAGAGGGAGTCAATATTGCCACAGGAAATGGGAGCTCAGGAGGACAAGGCAAGTCTCCTGTTCAAGGTCACATGGCAGATAAAAGTAGCCAGAACAGGAGCCCAAGCTGTCCAGATCAGAGGCCACGCCCTCATATTCCATGCCTAGATGTCTCTAGAACAGCAGATCAGGATCAACATCTGTGCACATGGGATCATGCCACCCATTCTTCAGAATGGGCAGACAGGTCAGTAGGGTCAGCTTTGATGATCTACAAATTTGGAAGCCCTGCTCAAGCAGGGACAGTTGTGAAAGGACCCACAGGCATTGGAGAAGTCAAATTGGCCAGACAGCCTGTTGTCACACATACACACACACACACACACTGATCTGACACTACTGAGCACACCCTCTTTTATCTGTTCTCTTTCTCTTGTCTTCTTACCCTCTTCTTTTCTTCCACACTGCTCCCAAGTGACTATTTAAATGGGCCAAAACCATGGTATTTTATGTCCTGCGGTTTTTATCTCTGACTATGATGATCACGTTTTGTCAACAGATGCCTGGGCTCTCCCCAAACTGTCTTGATATGATCCATTACAGTTCCAATGTGCTTTTTCAGAGGTGAATGATCACCTCTTGCAAAAGTCAAAAATACCCTCAGAGCCAGAGCTGATACGATTTTGTCTGTTGCTTTGATTATAGTGTATGCTGGCTCAGGGGGCTGGCAGGGGAGTGTCATTTTTATTGAAATTGATTGAATGCATATAGCTATTTCTTCCATCAACATCATTTGTGCCCTGGTTTTGTGCGGAATGCAGGGCTCACACTAAGCCAGAAAGAGACTTCTGGATAAATCAAGCATGGAGCTGGCCTTTGGAAAGGGCAAGTGCAGGGCAGGGATGCAAGGCTGCGTGAAGCACACGGGCTGGAGAGAGGTGCCCTTCAGTAGAAAGTCGGAGCCGGTGGTTGTAGGGGTTTGAAGAGAATGATTGATTCTACTTGCCACCGTCAGGGACAACTTCCTGAAGATGGTGACAGTTAACTCTGTCCTTGAAGGACATACAGAGTCTGGAATAGAGTATTGTACACCAGCAGGTGGGAAAGATACTCTGCTATTTAGAAGATGTCTGGAGAGTGGCATATGATTAAAGAGAATTGATGAAAAAGATTTATACTACAAAGAAAGATCTGAGGAATCAATAGGAAATAAATCATGTTGACATCTTGGATTGCAACTCTTAGCATTTTCCCCTCCTTCCCTATCCCTCCAATACAGCTAACTCTTCATGCCTCAGGGCCTTTGCACTTGCCATCTGTTTCTGATGTGAATTTATTGGCTGGTTGTGTTCTATGTTTGATACCTCCATTCAAATAACCCCTCTTCCAGAGTCCCTTTGACCTCTCTTATGAAGTTGCCCTCCTTCATCAGCCTCCTTTGCATGACTATAAACTCAAGCATCACCTTAGCTGCCAGTTACTATGAAGGAATCTTCATTTATGTTTTCATAACTCTTTTTGTTTAATACCTGCATCTGATACATAAAAGGCTAAGTGAATGTTTCCTGAATGACTAAATGAACTGAAGCAGCTTAGTAGACTAACACTTAAGCTCTGAAATCATATTGGGGATTTAATTCATACAGGACTGACCATGTAACTATGAGACCATTAGATAGTCACTCAACCTTCCTTAACCTTATTTCTCTCTAAATAAGGTACAATAATAAAAATTACCTTCCAGGATTTCAAAGGGGACACAGCCTTCTGTTAAGATGTATGTGGCTGAGGTTGGGGATTTAGCTCAGCGGCATAAGTGCCTGCCTTGCAAATGTGCAGTCATGAGTTCAATCCCTGGTACCAATAAAAAAAGAAAAAGACAAAAAAAAAAAAATGTATACGGTGAATGTGAATGTCTTTTATTCCTGGGTCCTTTCCCAGCATAGAAGAGCTTGCTCTGAGATGAGCCCCTCGGCCCCCCTGAACTCAGGTCTCCTTTGGGCATTGTCTGGGGACACAGTGCACCTCGCTGCCAGCCACATGTCTCAGGTGAGGCCCAGGACTGCACTTCCGGTTCACACATACCATCATGCTTAACCCCAAAGAGAGGTGTTTAAACTGTCAACTTTAATTCCACAAAAAGAAACCTGAAAATTTATGGGGGAAACTCCAATAAATACAAAGAGAAAGAATACTCGTAGACTCTATAAACCTCTTCTAATGTCTAGTTATGTAGATATACATGCACTATATTTAACATAGAGGCATGTACACATGTGCACACATCTTCCTTATTTATACATAGCCAAATGTTTCTTCAAATTTGGAATCAGATGACACGCTCTATTTTGACCTGCTTTTCCCACTAAACACATACGAGCATCTTTGTCATTAACATCCCTTTGTGATCGAATTAACACGTGGCTTGGTATGTGGCATAAATTAAACCGCCAAGTCTATGGCCTTCCACTTCATGAACCATGGGGATTTCTTTACCGCATTGTGAAGAATGGGGCTGGCGCTGACCTGTGGTCTTAGGAATGGAATTCGTGGGTCCCAGGTGTCCTCTGTGGACTGCTCTGTGGCACAAAGACAGCTGGATGCCCCAGACCCTTCACCCCCACACACTGCCATTAGGGAAGCCATCATCACCGTCTGAACAGGCAGAAAGTGACTGCCTAGCTGCTAAGAGATGAGGTCAAAATTCAAAGCCGAGCTGTGTGAGACACCCGCATCCTGGTCTGGCCCCCTCTGTTTGCTGGGTCTGCCGTCAGGTCTTTGCTCAGCTGTGTGGGGTCCACAGGCCCAGGAAAGTAAGAGCTGGACTTGAAATGCCAATCCTGCCTCTTTGTAGCCCAAATTTTTGATGAGAAAAGGTGAAATATTTGCAGATTAGTGGTCCTTCATTTGGAAGTCTCAACTTGCCAGCTAAAGGGAAATGACGTAAGCAAGGATGCAGCAGGAGGAGGAGGGAGCACATCCTGGGGCTCCCGGCACAGCACTGCTGTTCACAGCAGAACCTCCAGCTCTGCGCTCTGGCTCCTCCACCCCTGGTGCTCAGGGCTGCCCAACCCTCACCTTCAGAGCAATATCTCCTCCACTGGGTTCAGGTGACCCCCTCCCAGAGCTACTTGGGGTGCCCAGCTCTGAAATGTATATTCTTGGCACCATTGCCTATCTGCTAAAATCTGAAATCTAGAATGGGTGCTGGAAAAACACACTAGAGCCATCAAAAACCGAGACTGAGTATCTAAAGTCTCCACCCCAGGAAACTGCCCACGCCTTCTCTCAGCACCCAGCTCTGTAGTGACCAGGAGCTCCATTGCAGTTTGCTGAGTGTGTGTGATGAGTATTTCAAGCACTGCTTTGGCAATTTTACAAATATTATGTCACTGAGTATATATGACAATCCTGAGATGCTATGCCATTACTCCATTTCACAGATAAGGAAACCGAGGCACAAGTTGCCCAGGTAGTGGGGAGCAGGACCAGGTTTGAAAGCCCATAGCCATGGTCACAGAAAGCTGTGCTGGACCAGGCAAATGGAGCCTGACCTTGGCTGGTGTCAGATGAGGCTCCTGCAGAAAACACATGACACGTGGCATGTTCACCTGGGGTGTTCTGCAGACGGTTTGATCAGGAGCTTCCTGCTGAATGCGCGTGTGCAGGGGTCTGTACACCTTGCCAGGCTGGCCTGTGCGCTGCTGGGGCCAAGCTGCCCTGTCACCTAGGGCTTTTTGCTGGTGCCCCCTTTGGCCAAATGCACCAATGGCAGAGGACGAGGGGGCCCTGGAGGAAGGCCATCTGGGTGCAACACCAAGTGGAGGAGGTGGTGTGGGAATCAGAAGGACAAAAGACACAGCCTTTAACCCAAATCCCACGTGCTCATATTTAGTTTGGGAATAACCATAAAGAGACAAGATGGTGCTGGGGGGGCCTGCACACAGGCAGTGCACTGTGCTGCGTGTGTCCCCATGGCACTGGGCTCCCTGCGAAAACACAGTGCAGCTGGGCATGGTAGCACACACCTGTAATCCCAGCATTCAGGAGGCTGAGGCAGAAGGATTGCTGCAAGTTCAAGGCCAGCCTGAATTATACAGCAACACCCTGTCTCAAAAAAAAATAATAAAATAAAATGCAGAGTGACAGCCTCAGTCTAGCCCTCGTTCCCTAGTCCTCCCCCCGTGCTCAGGACACATGCACCACCTTGGCCTTTTCTCAGGTCACATCGCAATCCCCCAGCACCATTTCCATCTCAGACCCTCACTACCAGCTGTCACCTGGGTCCCAAAGCCACTGCTTCCAAGTGGCTGAGAAATATGTTCTTTCTGACCTCTGCTCAAATATGAGCTCCTTGGAGGGGCCTTTCCTGACAACCCAAATTATTCTCCACCCCTTGCTTTCTTTCATCTGCTTTATAGCATTTGGTTTATATTTACTGGTCACTTGCTTTTTCACTGGTCATTCTCACACAGTACGTGCCCCCAGGGAAATGATACCGAGTCCTTCCTGCTCAGTCTATGTCCCCGGTATACTAGTTCAGTGCCTGGTACCTAATAATTGCTCAGTAAATGAATGAATGTATGAATTTTTAAAATGTTTTATTCTCCCTGTATCAAGGAATAATTTGTCTTCTATTAAGCACAAATGGCACTAGGTCTATTTAAAGGAGAGCTACATGGTCCAGTTTTTTTAAAAGAACATTTGTTTTATTGATAAACTTATATGGATTATGGGAAAGGTGAGATAAATATTTTTAAAACATGAGGATAGAGGGTTGTCCTAATTATTGAAGAAGTTCTTCGGGTTTAACCTTGTCGTTTCTGAAACGCCATGTCTTCTTGGATGCCTGCTGACGCTGGCCCTTGGTGGCCTCCTTGGGGTCCTCTCTTCTCTTGAAAGTCATGAAGGCCCTCTTCTTCAGCTGGCCCACATTCAGACAGGTGACTCTCTCCGCGTTGGAACAAACATCATCCTCCTCCACCAGCTGTGGGGAAGACAAGGGGGATCTCTGAGGTTCCTGAGTTTGGGGTCCCAGTCATCTCGGTTACCATCTCCTCAACTTTGTGTACCTTAGGCACCAGAGGCAGCTCCTGGTGTGGGGCATCTTCACGCTCCCATGATGCGCACAGCCTGAGGTCCTCGACTGGAGTAAGTTCGAAGATATGTGAGTTGAGATCTTTGTAGTCTTTCAGGTTTTCTGTGGCGTTGTTTTGATTTTCGTTGTCAGTGGACTCATCAGAGTCGTCATCATCATCAACCCAGGCCGTGGTGACACCTGGTTTGCGGAATTGCTTCGGCTCGTCCAGAACTAGGTTTTGTAGAAGTAACCAATACTTCACTGTATTGATCAATAGTGGGTCTGGGAGTGGAGAGCCTTGGTTCTCTGAAGAACACCTTTGGCAAGGTATGTCTTCAAGAAGGAGTATATCCTCACCAAAAGAGTTACCCACGGGAGGCTTACCCACAGAGGGGCTCCCGGTGGGTTCGGCTCCAGAGTTGCCACACTCTGTGTCAGAGGGGTCCCTGGTAGGAGACGAAGATGTCATAGAATTGAGTCTTTGAGAGTCTCCGTCAATGTCAAAAACTTCCAAAGGGAGGAAATGGGTGATTTGTCCTTGTCCTCATGGAGAGGCGCTGCCAGCTCCTAGAGCAAAGACAGAAAATATGATCTGTTAGCTTCCAAGCCTCTGTAGCTAATGGTCTGTGTTCTATGACTGTTCGTTACCATAGCAATATCAGAACCAGCACAGCTAGCAAGGGGGGCATAGAGAAGAAGGGGATAGAAAACCCCAGGATCCACCTCCTTCTTTCCCTCCAAAATGTGTGTACGCACTAAGCAGGCTGAATAGGACCCCCCCTTGAGAAGAAGTGATGTGGGGAGCACGTTCATTCTCCTTGCCTTGGGTTGTCTGAGGTAGCTCATGGCTCAGGGAACTCAGGCCCCCTTTGAGGAGACATACATAAATAACCTGGCATAAGACAGGATGGGAAATCCAACAGAAGGGCTTAAAACTCAAATCCTAAGAGAATAAAGAAGGGCGCCTCTTGCTGCTAGGCCAGGGGTGGGCAGGGGACTAGGACAGAGCTCCTGGAGGGATGGCTGATGATCTGAGGATTTACAGAGGAGCAGAGATGAGTGAGAAGAGCAGAGCTAGGGAGCCAGGTGTGGTGGAGAGGGTTTATAACCCCGGCTAGCCGGGGCTGAACAGGGAGACTCTGTCTCAACAATAACAACAACAATAGCAAGGCAAGAACAAAAAAACAGAAGGAAGGGGGTGTCGATAGGGTACGATTTAACCATGAAAACCCTGCCAAGCGGAGCCAAGCACCTACCATGCGAGGAGATCAAGAGCAATGAGGGATGTGGGCTTTGGTGAGGTCACAGAGGCCTCTGCCACTGCTAGGGAGCCTGGATGGAGCCTCTAAGTTGCCAGGGATGTGGCATTTGGTTACCGTTTGATATCCTTCCAGGGAGTTCCAATGTGTATCTTCCAGCGGACTCACCTGTGTGAATGTCCCCAGGTGGTGTGGATGACATCAGGTCCTGTAGCTTTGGAGGAGGGGAACCAGGCCATGATGAGGATGGAGGAGAGGAAGTGGGCAAACAAAACATAAGCTGTAGCGTGGTAATGTGAGGTTGGAGAAAGTGAGAAGGGGAAACAGAGGCAAGGATGGTCTGCTTTTAAAATGGGTTGGTACAGGGGGAAAGGAGGCTCCATGTAAAGAAAAACAGTAGGTCACTGGAGCACATGGCATATCCAGACGTCATGGCACTGGTGAGAGAGTGAGAGGGTGTCCAGTGAGGGGAAACACCGTGATGGAAACCAAAACAGTGCCTCCCCCCGCCCCCGTCCCCAGCCACGGAAGGTGGGGGCTGAGTGACACCCTGGCTGGGCCTCTAGCCACAGACTTCTGAAAATGTTAAGGTGCAGTTCGGCTTGCGTTTCCTAGACATTAGATATGTCCTCAGGGCTGGGAGAAAGGGGCCTGGCGTGACTCCGGAGTCCAATCTCATTTTCAAAATACAGCATGACCCTCAGAGGTAACCTCAGGCACCAAAATAGTAGAAATCAAAATGTGTAAAATAACAGATCCTAACAGGCCAGAGAAGAGCGTGTTTGTCCCCTGGGAGGCAATCAGGAGGCTTCTCAAAGAAGTGGGATTAGGACGGTGAAGTAGAAGTTACCACTGGATGGAACGGGGCCAAGACCCTATAGGCTGCGAGCAACTGGAAAAGAGCAGTTTGGAGAAAAGGGATCACGGGCACTGAGAGCGGGGCACGTGGGCTCCCTGGGAAACTCGCAGGTAGCCCTCTCTGCTTGCTTTGTTCTGAACCATTGTCCTGAAGGTGTCTGTGGCGATGCTGTCCTTGTCCTCATGGAGAGGCGCTTCAGGGAGGCAGCTCTGCCTCCAAAGTACCAGCCTTTCTGTAAAGAAAACACCCAGAAAACTCCGTCTCATCATTCTCACTGGGAGCACAGGTGGCCACCGGTAGCTGCCTGAGGTTTGCATGGAAGGGATGCCTGTCCCTGGGGAAAGCGTTAGAGAAGATGGCTCTGATTTACAGATAAAAAGTTGCTCTCAGGGGCTGGGGATTTAGCTCAGCGGCATAAGCGCCTGCCTTGCAAGTTGGCGGTTGTGAGTTCTATCCCTGGTACCAATAAAAAGGAAAAAGACAAAAAAAAAAAAAAAAAAGAGTTGCTCTCCTTCAACACCAGGGATCCAAATAATTCTGCCTGTAGAAAGATCAAGAGCCCACCCTGAGCAAAAATGCTTTTGTCCCCTTTGTCTCAAGGTGAAACCTTGAAGATGATTTCCGCTCACCACCCAGTGTGTGGGTGCCTCCCCAATTGCTCCTTCGATATTGGAGCCCAGAAACCCCTGACGAGTGATGAATACCTTTTCCACGGCTTCACCGGCCACTTGGCAATGATGCCTCTCCATGTGTCAAGTACATGACCCCAGCGTCCAGTTTTAAAAGTTGGTAGAGTTCAGTGTGACACTTTATCTTCCCAAAGTATCTTCCCAGAGTTAATGTGCTACTTAATTTTATTGAAGGTCTTTGGTCTTGAGTTATAACATGAAGCACAAAGCTCTAGGGAGGACTTTATGATACTCAGTAATTCACAGAAAGACTGTGCATCGGATTTCAGGAGAACTCCCACTTGGAAAGTAACTGCAGGGCAGAGCTGATCTCTCCCCGCTCCTCCATCTCCCGGTCTCCCTCCCTCTCCTTATCAAAAAGCAATCCACAAAATGAGTCTCCCTCTCCATCTCCCTTCCTCATTAGCATCTCATTTTAAACCAAGATGTGCTTCACATAATGTGAATGGCTGTTATGTAACCTCAATTTGGAGTCAAAAAAAACTTCAGGGAATATCAAGTGAAACGTGGTAAGCAGGGATATTTATTGAGGTTATGTCCAAGCTTCCAGCAGTGTTAATATTCAAGTGGAGGAGCATAGACTATGCAACTGTCCCATATTCAGTTTCCCTGGGGGCCCTCTTTCTGACGCCACACCCTTGAAGGCATGAATCCATCCCCTAGTGTTAACTAAGAAGTCTCAGTCACCCTAAAAGCTGCAGCTCCTGGGCCAGGGACTGGAGTGTCCTCAAAAGTCACTAGAAGGTAACACTACCCACTGGGCTTTTTTATACTTAATCTTTTCCCAGGTTTCATGTGAAGGGAAGCAACTTTATTTATTTGTTTATTTAGTAGGGAATTAACACTAGTTAATATATTGCATATTGTTATATTAGAAGTAGTTGTTCAGGTTACAAGATTTAGGCATGGGAAAAATGATCAATTAAACAATGACAGCCCAAACTGATCTTTTTGATGAACTTATAGAGATTAGTAGTGTAGCTATCTATCTTGTATACCTATACATAAATACATATATATGTATATCTACATATGTATAATCTTTTCTTGTTTTTCTCCTTTCTATCCAAGTTGTTTTTTCCTTTTGAGCACTTTCTTTTCCTTTCATTTTCTCAATATCTATTGTACATTTTGGGTCTTATTACTATTTCAGGTTTGTTTTTTTTTTTACATTAGGGAGACAATATGACTTTTACACATGTGAATTTCATTCATTTCACTTATGAGTATGGTCTCAAATTGCACCCATTTGCCTATAAAACCTCAAGTGTAACTGTCTTTATAGCTGAGTAATACTCTATTGTATGAAAATACCTCATCTTTTCTATACATTCTAAAGTTGATGGGCATTTGGGTTGTTTCCAAGATTTAGCTATTACAAATTGTGCTGCTATAAACATGGGTGCACATATATCACTGTGGTATGATGTTTTCAATTTTTCTGGGAAACAGCTAGATTGAATGGGACCCCCAATCCTAGTTTTTTAGGAGTCTCCACCTTGATTTCTGCAGTGGTTGTACCAGGTTACACTTCCACCAACTGTGGAGAAGGGTTCCTTTTTCATCATAGCATTTGTTATTGATTGATTTCTTGATGCCAGCCGTTCTTTCTGGAGTAAGATGGAATGTCATTGTTGTTTTAATTAGCATTTCTCAAGTGACCAGTGATGTTGAACATTTCTTCATGTATTTATTTGCCATTTGTATTTCTTAATTTGAGAAATGTGTGTTCATCTTGGGGGGCCTGTTTTTCAATGTTTTATATGTTCTAGACATATCCCTTTGTCTGAGGCATAGTTGTCAAAATTTTTTTTCCATCTGTAGGTTTTCTTTTTACTCTATTGGTGATTTCTTTTGAAGTGCAAAAACTTTTTTTAATAAAATGAGATCCCAGTTGTTGACTCTCTGAAATACTCACTGTGTGTTTTGCATTTTGCTCATGAACTCTTCTACACCTCTGTCTTCAAGACTTCTACTTAGCTTGTCTTCCCATAGATTTAATTTTTCTATTTTAATATTTAGATCTTTGATCCATTTTGACTTTAGTTTAGTGCATGGTGATAGACATTGATCTAGTTTCAATCTTCACCATGTGGAAAGCCAGTTTTTCCAGCACCACTTATTAAGGCTATCTTTCTTCCAGTGAACATGTTTGGCCCCTTTGTCAAAGGTAAGGTGACTGAGTGTCTTTCTAGCTATCTGCATCTTAGAATCTGTTGCACTGATTCTCAGGTCTGTTTTTTGTTTGTTTTATTTTTTTTTTCAGTACCATGCTGTTTTTTGTCACAGTTGTTTGTAGTATAATTTCAAGTCAGGGATTGTAATGCCTCTTGCCTTGCTTGTGTTGCCCACAATTGCCTTTGCTATTCTAGGTCTCTTCTGTTTCCAAATGAATTTTAGAAGTGTTTCCTCTAGATCTGTGAGGAATGTTAATGATATTTTGACCAAGCTTGCATTAAATCTGTACAACAGTTTCAGGAATATGGCCATTTTCACTATTCTGGTTCTGCCTATCCAAGAGGAAGGGATGTCTTTTCATTTTATAATATCCTTTTCAATCTCTTTTTTAAAAAAGACTATTATAGTTTTCAGTGTATAGATCTTTTACATCATTTGCTAAATTGATTCCTCGGTATTTCATCCCTTTTGGATGCTAGTATGAAAGGTGTTATTTTCATATTTTTGTCTTAGTGAGACTGTTATTTGTGTACAAGAATGCTATTGATTTTTGAGTGTTGACTTTGTATCCAGCTACACTGCTGAATTTGTTTATTAGCTCCAGTTTTGACAGGGTTT